CAGATCTTGTGGCAAAAGAGCGTCAGGGGCTGTAGGCACCTTTCCAGTGGGCTGAGAATGGACCTGGGCCTGTACTGTGATCTGTGAGCCTCGTTTATTGGCCTCTTTCTGCGCCCTTGTGAATTCACGGTGCAGGACCCTCTGCCTCCTCTCTTCTGCCTTCTGGACGTCTTGGAAGCCTTCTTGGAAAGCCCTTAGGAGGAGCTTAGGCTGTCTGCTTTCTGGTAGGTGGCATCCCCAATGGCCCTGCAACAGGGGAAGTGGAAAATCACTTCCCCGATGACCCCTCTGAATCTGCCATACTTATATGGCAGGCCGGCCTGGGTGGATCAAAGGGCCTGTCGCTAGCTCTCCGGGGCTCAATCGGTGGTGGCAGGTGGCAACTGCTCTGCTGTGGGGCGAACCAGCTTGCACTGCTCCTCAAGCTCCGAAACCGATCCTGCCCGTGAGGACGCAGAGGGTTCGCCTGGGCCTTGCACATCAGCTGGACTGGAAGATACCAGCGGGAAGAGCTCTCCTGGGCCCTGCCACCTCTGGGGATCCTCCGCCTAGCCCCTGGCACTGTTTTGCGCCCAAACAAAATGGTTGCTGCACCTGGAGCCTCTTCAAAATGGCAGCCACCTGAAAAAAAATCTCCAATGGCAAAAAAAAACAAAAAACCAAGCCGTGAAGAGCCACTCTTACCTTCCCCAAGATGTCGCCGCTCTCCTGAACTTTCCGATGCCTTTCTTGGCTCACCCCCTCTGGATGATGTTAGATGGAGGGGTGGAGCAAGGCCCTACCAGCCAGGCAGAACCCCATGACCACTGCGCGGCTTTGAATTAACTTAGCCTCCCCTGCTACCCACCACGATCTAAAAGGGAGCTAGGGGAGTAACAATAAGAAAAGAAAAAAATATATAGCCAAATTGATGTAGAGATCAAGCTAGCATGTCTTATCCCTAAGGAAACTGAGTCTTAAAAGCTGGAGGAGCCAGTAGAGGAGGTGGGATATTGAAATCTTCAGACTCAGTCCCCATTGGATGATAACAGAGTTAAGCCATTCCTGGCTGCTGTCTCCACCTACAACGGAGAATCTCCACAGACTAAATAAATTAATAAATGTCCCAATGGGCATTTATAAGTAACAAATTCCTTATAATTTAAATTGATGTGAATAATTCAGAAATAGTAGAAGGCATACTTTTAAACAAGAATCCAAAAACCTGCAATATGAAACCAACTTGGAACAACGCAACTCTATTGTCTTGCAATAATCACCAATATTATACTACCTACTACATTATACTAATGTACTACATTTAGATTAATCAACTACTGACTTATCGCTTATCCAGACATGCCTTAAAGTCTCTTCAGATCAGTATTCAATTCTGACAGCTTCCTCTTTCTAGATGGCTTTTAATATATAAATGCTGACAATATCTGTGCACTTTACTGCCAATACATCATGGGAAATTTGCAAACATGATCCCCCCCCCAACTTTCATTGAGGGCATAAAAATGTGCATGCTTGCATGTTTATGTGTTTGATTCTAAAAGAAATGAAAATATTTCAACATAATTAAAAAATCTACACTTGGATCAGGACATAATCTGATTAATTTCTATTCTGTAATGTTAAAAAGGCTGAAAGTCCATATCCAAAATCATTAATTTCTGCACAAACTGTACAGAATTTTACCTTTCATGTTTTGTGACAGCTTACATAAAGTATCATATTGAATGTTTATCACTTGAGCCAATATTATGAATTATTTTGCCATAGTATTCTTCATGTATTCTTCATACTTAAATAGTTTGGTTCCCAAAGAAATCTGACAGATGTTTTCATGTTTAATTGCCTTTTATTACGCATTATTATTGGCTTACTTTAGTTCTGCATAGAAACTTTATTGACACAATTTAGTAAGTGGATTTAATAGAGACTGCTGAACTAGTTACTGGTTCTTTGCTTTCTTTACTGGAGCAGCAAAACTGGTTTTATTGTTGGCACTTAGAATATTACCAGTAGTGGCCTCTACCTTGTTACTATCAAGTTTCTACTGTTATTTGAGCTCTTGGAAGCATCTCATTGTACCTAGGAGGTTGCATTTTGAGCATTCAGATAGAAAATTTAGTATAAACATTACCTCCCCCCCACCTTAGTATTATTTCTCCAGGACCATAAATACACATTGCTTTTTGTAGTTTTCTATTGTTGTCTTTGAGTAGATTGTTACATTTATAATTAACAAGTTTAACATTTATTTTAATTATAATTAATATTTATTTTAATAAAAATATTTAAAATAAGGAGGAATTTCCTTTGTCCTCAACCGAACAGAGGGAAACGATATATCTTAAAATATTACTGTAAATCAGACTCATCATGCAAGGGTACTGCTATACGTGTTATCTTCAACCTAAACATACCAGATGGATGAGAAATTAACTCATTTTTCCTTTTTACTTAGTAATACATACAGATCATTTCCTGATTGTAAAGGAGAAACTTATATCTTAAGTTATAAGAGAACTTCTCAACATGATCTTTCTTATATCTATAGCCTCTCCATTGCCCGAAATGGGTCCACTCCAAGTCAGCTTGTCATTTTTATAAAAATCTCCCATACTGAACATGCTCATTAGTTAGGTGAAATAGTAGCTTCAATAAGCAAGAACCCAGGCAGCAGAATTCCCCCTCCCCCCCCAATCTGTTTCTACTGTAGTAGCCAGGGACATATTCAACTTATGAATCCACATTGCAAGTCTTCCTCCACTGAGAAAATATGAAGTCATTCTTGTGGATATAATACTTAGAGCATTTCATTTCAACCTTTACAAATGTAAGCAGCAATTACGCTCATCGAGCTAATATTAAAGGCAATCTTCTTAAGGTTCAGTTAGTTTCATCTTGAGTGCTGGTTGAGAAGCACTGCATTTTTTTCTACTTAAGATATATTTACCGGTACTTCTATTATCTCTCTTAGCTAGAATTACCAGATACTTCATTCCTTTCTCTGCTTAGTGCTTGCAATTATTTAATTTTCCAGGCAGAAAGCTAGTGAATCAAAATAGTAACACAACAATAAGCCAGAGCAACTAAGCTCCTCTTCCATTTAACTCACACACAAAAAAGCAGATGAACATCCCTTCTTTCTTTACATCCTCCTTGCTCAACAACTCCCTATGTATCTTTTTGTATCCTGAAGTTCTTAGCTTAACTTCTAACATCTTCTTACTCCTTTTCTTTATAAACCCCACTTCCTCGGTTAGATACCAGGATCTCATCAATTTTGGATATCCATGAAAATCATGAAAAATTGGATTGTTTACTACTTGGATAGGAGACCATCATATTTACTAGACTGGGAAGCTCAGGAATTATTCTGTAGGAAGTCAAAGGCTTCTGTACTATTGCCCCGCTATACTAAATTATGGATGTCAAGTTTGATTCAAAGGAGGTTTTAGTTAACAAATGTAGCCCTCCCACAAAATAATCTGTCTCATATCTCAGCTAGGCTCCTTCACAATGATCCTTACTTGCTTACTTGCCCCCCCCCCCCATCTCCCTTTCCCTCCCTCCCTCCCTCCCTCCCTTCCTTCTGTTTTCTGGGTCAGCCTGGTTTAGGCAGAACTATCTGACCCAGTGCTTCTCAACATGGCAACTTTAAAATGTCTGATTTATGTCCAATCTAAAAGTACGGAAGATTTGAAGTGAGCAGCTCTGAAGTCACACCTGGGCCAGAAGCACACACACGCACACAGGTCCTGTGATTAAAGTTCTGCCCAAAATGTAATTTTCTCTTTATTTCTATTATAGCAATTCTGCATACATTTAACATACAAATCTGGATATGCCAATGTTATGGAAATCTAAACCCTCTTTTATTGTCTTTTTCTGACGTTTCACATCTTTTTTGCAAATGTGTAATAAACAACTGCCCTATCTTTTTTTGCTTCTTTACAGGCTAGGTCTAAAGGCTATTAAAACTGGCATTTTTCAAAATTCCAGGAACAGGAAACGACTCATTCCCTTTATAATCTTGCATTTCTCTCTGCACTGAGTGACCAAGAAGATTAAGGTTTGGTGTTTTAGTCAATGAATGGATTGCATCTGACATAACTACACCTTCTCCATTTTGAGGCCAACACAACTTTTGGCCATTCTTGTCAATTATACCATGACAATTTCATTATCTGCACAAAATCCATTCATGTTTTAAATCTAGGGGAAAAGAGGGATACCATACCAGACATCAGAAGACTTCTGGCTAGGTATGAGATTTGCCCCCTCCCCCAAGCAAAATTGGGAGTAGCCAACAAAACACTAAAAAGAACCAGCTGAGGTTGCTATTTCAGAAGAAACAAGTTGTAGAATAATACTTTCTTAGTTTTGCCAGTAGATGGCAATGGATTTATTTGTGTCTTGAGTACTTAATATACTTAATATATAGTCCAGAGTTTCCTGGGCCTTTTGCTCCTTGTTTAACAGTGTAAACCACTTATTGGTTACCTTAATGACTGGGTCTTTTAAACCTTCTTTGGGAAATGTTGCTAATGTACCAATATAATATAAGTAAAAGTGAATCATCATGTCCTTTATGACTTTAAAATCAAATTGATCTGGGAAAAAAAATCAAAATTTCTTTCCCCCAATCTTGTCACAGTTATAAGACCAGGGACTGCCTGAAAAACTAGCAAATCTCAAATTGAAAAGATTCTTAGGCATATGAAAAATTCAATTATTTCTTAAGAAAATTAGACCTACATAAGTGCAGGTGAACTATCTAATAATACAGACATCAGCTATTAAAAATGTTACAAAGGCTCCATGTTCAGAAGCTACCAATGCTCAAGATGCAGGATGAAGCAATTCTTGTAGGCCTCTGTTTCCATGTTCCACTTGTGTACCTTTCACATTTAAGTGGTTAACTATTATTCTGAACCATATAATAACTAGCATAATCTAAGCAAGTTTTATTCTGTTCGTCTGACATGTCTTCAATGTGTACTCACCACCCTGGCGGCTCTTTCTTGCGATTCACATTTTCGACAGAACCATGGTCCAGTGGGAACTTGAACAATTCCATAGCATGCTAAGAGAAGAAACAAGAAAATTCGAGAATGAAATTTGGGTTGCTATGTATTTTTCTTGATATGCTTGGTAGTTTCTGATTCCAGCCATAAACCTAAAATGGAATAGAATTCTGTATTTTTCAGGCTCGTATAATTTGATTGGACTCTCAAAACATGGCTCTTCGGTCTGCACAATCTGTGATCCACCAAGCTGAATAGAATCAACCAGTCATGTATATACAGTATTCTACTCAGTAAGTTTCCTATTTTTGCAGGCTTCTTAATAGTACAAAACAAAAGATCATCAAGGAGCTGGGAGGTCACAATTCATGCTGGTGGCTGCATTTAGCTTGCAACATCATTAATGACATAAATCTGTCATATTGCAACCTCTTTGGAAAAAAAACTTCTCATCACTCTTTTTTTCTGTTTTAGATTTAAAGTGTTGCTACTGTGTCAAGGATTGGGACTTGTTACAACTTCCTTACTGCTGTGTCATTAAAAACATATTTTATTCACCAGTAAGTTACTACCAAGTTTATCCAAATCTGTTGTTACTAAAATTTAGCAAAACAGCTTAAATATTAAGGATTAATCTACTAGAAATTTTCAACACCAAATCTTATAAACTTGTGGGTTCTGAAAATGCTAATAAAAAATATTTATAAGGTGCCAGATTTATTGAATAAAAAGTATTAAGTTTGGCAATGGGCTCATTGGCCAGGAAATCAATGAAGACCTGGTTTTCCCGCACGTGTGGGTAGCCTGAAAGTTAATGGGACAGGAATGGTATATTTGATTTATGGATATGACTTTTGTTGGGGTGGTGGTGGTGTCAATATTGTCTTTTTTACTTGAGTGGTTTTTAATCTTTGTGTTCTTGTTCTTGTTTGCTGCCTAGAGCTCCTTTTGGTACATGGGCAGTCATATAAATTTATTTAGTAAAATTAATATTAATCATAATGATTATATACAACTTATAGAGGCAAAATAATAATTGCTGTAAATGAAAGCAGAGGAAAGCATTTTCACTAAAAGTCTTGTCAGTGAACTTCCTAAAAACATTTAGTTGGTTACACTTATATACAGAATCCTGGCAGAAATGATTATGGGATCAAATCCACAAGCATTGTTTATGTGTGGAATGGAAAAGAGAGTAGATAGCAGTCTAATAATAACAGATGGAAATGTAAAAAATGTGGTATTTTTCTTTCTTTCTGTAGTCATGAAAAGTTTAATATTAGTGTAGGTTATATATCTCAAGGAAATTATGCAAGGGGTTACCAGAGAAGACTGGGCAAACAACTATAGGAAACAGAAAATGAATAAAAGCATTAAAGCCTTGGCAAACAAGAGAGTCCTGCATCCCTCTTTAGCAAGGAGGAGGGGGAAAGATCCCAATCTCATTGAACATGTTATTAATATTCCTTCCTGTTGAAAGAAACAGATGAAAGTAAGGAAAATCATGAACAGAGGAGAGGAAACAGAACAAAAGGTGCTACACTGGAGAAAAAATGTATTGATTGATTGATGAAAATATGGTGCTGTTTTTCCCATGCAAAGAAAGAAACCAAAGCAATTTTTACATGATATAAAAAGCATAAAAATAATAATCATTTAAAAATATCCTAGGGAAGATAAAGACATAAACATCCAAACTATTGTATCAGTTAATAAACAGAATAAATCAAAACAAGTAAAAATGCTGTTTAAAGAGACTATTGACAGAGAGTAAAAGTGATTTTTTTGGAGTAATTCCTGAACTCTCAGCTTTTCCAGAAAGCACTCTGCCAAAATTAGTGCTAAACTAAGAACAACACAGAGTTAGTTTTTCACTGATTTTTCCAGAGTACAGGGGTCTAACCAAAACAAAATTTAAATCACTGAATTTAATAAACCTAAATCCCCTTTAGAAATCCTTTCAAAGAGCTGAAATCCCAACTGCATTTATTCAGTGAGATGACTTTATTACTACAATGTTATAATTTATATAACAATTCCAATGGTTCCAACTAATTGAAAGATTTCATCTCTAGATCTAAGTTATATTAGGACAAATGCTCAATCTACAAGGTTCTACGATTCAGAAAAAAAATAGTATATTTCTACAATCACCTTCTGAAGAAAAAGGGACATGTTGTATATCATAGAAGTCTACTGCTAAAAATGATACATGCATTAATTATGCTGGATCCAGATGCAGCTGCCATTAAAGGCCCATTCAAATCAGTGCAATTTAAATCAATCTACTTGAATCTTACTATTTTTAACAGATTATTTTAATTTAGATCTCATGGTAAGGAAAACATGCAATCAATAAAATATCAAATATCAACACTGTAATTATCAAATTAGAGAAGAGGAATCAAAATAATTTTAAAGTTTCCATATCTTCCTCCCAGTTACTATTTAAAACTGTGCTTGTCCAGACAATTGAACTCTCTGTGGGATGTGCAACTCTATAATAGGAAATTTGTGTATTTATTTTATTTAGTATACTGTATATCAGTAGCTGCATTTATCAGGAGGCACTTTATTTTAAGAACATCTGATATAGTTATTTTTTGTTCTAAATACCCATAATAATTATTCTATTGAAAATTACTTTTGGGATCTGTGCCTTTGAACAACTGACATACCTTGTAGTACATATATTTATTTTATTGTATATAGGAATAGCCTTGGTGAATCTAAAATACTGAGTGAATTAAATTAGCAAACCTTGATACAAATCAAAGTAAAAGACTTTTCTTATTTTCTTATTTTTCCCCCTGCCTCTCTGAAGCAAAAATAGCACTCAGATTAAGCTAGAATATGTACGTTTGCTTGGTTTGCTTTATTGCTAAAAGTGAGTCAGCTGCGTGATGTACGTGCAAACATAGCTAATGCAATTTCATACTGCCTTAATGGAGTACAAGTTTTTAGAACACCATAATGTGTTCTGAAAACTTCACATTATTGTGCATTAGCCATATATTTCATCCACTAGGTCCAGTTTGAGGCCTTCACCTATGTCCTTTAAAGGAATAATAGTGGACAGAATGGTAAGGAACAAAAATTAAAGTAACTGGTCTTGTTTAATTTGGAGATCCGGTAGACTGAAGAGGAATATAATGGCACTCTTCAAATGGACAGCAAAGCTTATTCTCCACTACATCTGAAGAGATAAATTCAATGGACTTACGTTACAAGGAATATGGATTTTAGTTGTCGGTAGAACAGTTTGATAAAGTACATTTTAGAATCGTTGATGGATTCTCCCTGGTTAGATGTCTTTGAAAAGTCATATCCTGAGAATATTCTAACTCTGAATTCCCTGCACTGACCCTGGAGTTGGACTCACAACCCCAAAAAATATTTTTGTTGTGTTACAGAAACAAAATCTCTGATTTTAAGTTAATGCATCATGTCATAACAGAGACACGGGAGGGAAAAAGCAGTGGTATATACGCTGTCTCCCTAGTTATCCATTGAGACTTCTGATGTGCACAGCAATAATTCTCTTGTGACTATGTCTTGGTTGCTACGAAGGGAATTGGGATCTAATTATTCACATACAGTGCAACTAGCCTGTACTGGAGCTATAGAAAAGCTTTTCAAATATAGGTTGAATTTCCTTTAGATATACACAATATTGGACCTCAACTCTTTCGATGTGATTCAGAATGGGTCCAAAGGCCAGACATTCTTCTGAAATTCTGATTGAATCAGAAATACATGAATCTCCACTCCTACTCCTATTCCATGTTTGCAAACCAGAAAGGTTAATATTTGGTCAGGCAACATTTGAAGCTTCACTGAGTTCTTTTCAACAGTTTAAATGTGTGAGAAATTCTATGCTGCTTCTTATCGAAAGTCCTACAGTGAATCTATTTCTGTCATATTTAAGAGATGCCACACTAGTAGCATCCAGAGGCCAGTTGAAAATGTTAGCAATTCTAAAAGATAGCAAAATTTGGTCAATTGCCAGGGTTCTAAATCCAGCAGAGAGCCCACCATTTTAACGATACAATCATCTCAATTTTGTACAGAAAAAAATATTCAAAAGAATAAAATAATTATTGGAATATCTCATCATTTTCACATTAGGGGAGGATACTAGGATCTATGATTGCAATCACAAAATCCTGGTGCCAGAGCTGTAATTAATACAGAAGCATTCACAAAAGATCTGCTTTGCAGGAGCTTACTAGATCAAATGGATCTGCAAGAAATGGTTATACATGGCAGAAATTTAAGGCAATGGAATTGGTATCAGTGGAGCACTTGGCTGTGCCCATTATACTCTATCCACAACAATTCAACTGAATCAGATTCATGGTTTTGCTCACTGACATCTAATGCTCTGACTGCAATACCCTACGGTCTTGCCTTTGTTAGTACAGATGGAGTTAGAGTATCCAAAGGCAGCTGCTTTTTTATTGTATTCTGGTTTTGTTTTTGTTTTGCATTATATTATGTTTTTAACTGTTTGCTGTTCAAAGTTGCTTAGGCAAGATGAACAGTCCTCAAAATGGAATGATGTAAATAAACATATAACCCAAGAAGGTGGCTTTAATCATGCAAAACCCTGTCTCTTTTTATACGCACAAGAGTGGGTTTTGGTCATGTGGTCACAGATACAATCTTCACTTTTTTTAATGCAGACACCTCTCCTCTCCATCATAAGAGGCCCTAGTAGATGAAATCAATTCTTAAAATGACACAGAAAACTCTCCTTGTGAATTTTGAAAATCTTGGGCAGTTTTTTTCAGCTACATTCTCATATAGGAACCTTCTTCCCTATATGAATATTGTCTATATCAGGAGTGTCAAACTCAAGGCCCATGTGGTGCTTAGATCTGGCCTGAGGGCCACCCTGGAAACAACAAAGGACCAGCCCACAGTGCCTCTGCCAGCGAAAACAGAGCCCGGGAGGGTCCCCCCTCTGAGCTCTGTTTTCTCTGGCAAAGGGCTTCACAAGGCTGTTGTGGCCGAAAATGGGGCCCGGCGGGTCCTGCGAGCAGTCCTCCCAGGCTCC